ACACACACACACACACACACACACACACACACACACACACACACACGCACGCACGCATGAACCGGTCTAGTCCGGTCTGTAGAGTTGGCTACTTACAGTAGGTAAGGTAACGACTGCTTCTCGATTCAAAAGCTTATGCAACCCAAACACAGTCTGACTTTACGTGACGTTCTAGAGTGGTCTGCTCAGGCAGTGACTATCTAGAACCTCTCAGAATTCCACCTCCCATTTCCTTCCCCGCTCGCGCTCAACCACAATCAATGTGGCGAGCCTTGTACATGAGCAGCACAGTAAAAGGGGAGCGGCAAGAACAAATGAAAGGGGTACCCCAAAGAAAGCAAAAGGGAACACAATTAGGAAAAAGGGATTTATGGTCCTATAATGTCAATGGCCGCAGTCTTCGAAAGAGGGTCTTTTGCCACTAGGAATTTATGGCCCAGAATGCCAACGGACGCAGTCTTCGGAAGGTGGTCTTTTGACACTTGAACACAATTAAGAAGAAGGGATTTATGGTCCATAATGTCAACGGCCGCTGTCTTCGGAAGAGGGTCTTTATTACCAGGCTGGCTGGCATAAAGTACTCAAACGTATCAAGAACGATTCTAACAAGAGACAAGACATCATAAGCATATTCTGCAAGGACAGCCTCGGATCCGGCAAACTGGGGAACATAGAAGGGGACATCCCAAGACTCGTGTGGAGACTCACAGCGAGATCCCAAGGACACAGTGACATGGGAGGGAATGCTTCACTGGAATCGGCTCGGTCGCAAGGACCCAGCCTCAACCTCAACTCCAGCTAAGCAACGAGCTTGTCCAGAATAGAGGTAGACCACGATTAGATGACGAGGACAACAGAAACTGGGGGGTGGGCAATGCCCCAAGGGCGTACACGACAGAAAACACAAGCTGGCGACTAGGGTTTCAGCTGCAAACTTGGATTCTCGCAAGGCCATAGCAATAACATTAAGAGAGCACGAACACACGGATTTTAGATTTAAGAGACGTCACTTCACTACGAAGGGAGGACAGTGGACACAGTGTACTGCTCTAGTTGAGTGAGTAAAAGTCGACAGCCCTGAGGCTGAGAGGAGCAGCCACGAGGTAAGACATAAAGCTTTAGGGTTTAGGTTGAGAGGAGCAGGTACGTTTGGTGGGAAAGTTTTACTTCTTGCTGGTGATTTTAGACAGGTTTTGGACGTTGTGAAACACGGATTGCAAGCGCAGCAGATTGATGCGTCCGTGAAAATGTTTCCTTTGTGGAAACTTTTTTAGGTTCATAAATTGATGGAAAATATGTGAATCTTAAGCTTAGGGAATAATGGAATGACATAAATGTATGCTTATTTTCTCATGTGTGTTGGGAATGGTGACCATCCTCGTGTTGTTCCCAATGAGCCTGCTGCAATCAAATTGCCATGTGAGATTTGTACTGATTCCTGAGTTGATTTCATGGACGTTTAACGATGTGGCTAACCACTTTGGGGATGCCATGTATTTCTTGCCTCAAATAATTTTATGCCCAACTAATGACGATGCGGGTTGTGTTAACAATTGTGTTCTTGACGATTTCCTTGAGGAGGTGCGTGGACTTTTCAGTGTTGATTATCCTTATTCGGATGATAACGGACTCGGTATTGAGCAAAAGTTCTTAAATTCTCTCAATGAAACTGCATTCCACCTCACAAGCTGCGCTTAAAAATTAGTGTGTCCGTCAAGCAAGGACTTTGCAATGGTACAAGGTTGATTCTGGAGAATATCGTTAATTATAATTTATTGGAAGTGACAATAATGCGCACGGGCAAGACAACATTGATCCTCAAGGTTAATCTGACAAGCAATGGTGAGAGCACTGGGTTCAAATGGATAAGGAGGCAATTTTCAGTTCATCTTGCTTTTGCTATAATGATTAACAAGTCACAAGGACAAACTGTCTCGCGTGTGGGGGTTTGACTACACAAGCCAGTTTTTTGCGCATGGCCAACTGTACGTTGCTTTGTCGCGTGTTAGGCATCCCAACAACATTTATGTTGCATTGCCTGACAATAATTTTTTTGACGAAAATATCGTGTATCATGAACTTTTGAAACGAGTTGTTCTCTTGCGGCGTCATACTTCTTTTATTTGTTTCGCCGAGTCTTGGCATTCCGATTAATTTCTTCCTGTTCTTTCTTCGAAGACGACTCCCAAGTGTGCCATAACTACAACACTCGAGCCAATAGCAAAAGGAGGAGAGTAATAGGAACCAGCAATACCACTGAAGGTGATCCGCTTGTTACATCAAGCTCGATCCGAACATTTGAAGAGGTCGAAGAAAGTCAAAATGATGAGAGATCGGTGAATGTTGGAAATGAACATGCTGGGGACGATCGTGCTCCTCTTGGTGAAGTTGAGTGTAGATGTCTAGAAGGGAACACTTTTGAGGATGTTGAAAAAATGGTTGTGGAGAGGGGTGTTGATGGTTGTCGTGCTGATGTGAATGGTTCGCGCCAAGGTCTGTCGGGTAGGCCTAATAATCCGGTATTTACCGATGACTAAGATGACAGCGTCACTGGTAATTCGGAAGAAGATTGTATTGATTTTATATTCAAGAGGATAAAAAGTCGTATTGCGAAAACTAATCTTTTGGATTTAACCGAAGTGCATAAGCCTACCTTGGTTGATAATCGAATGGGTTATCAACCAGTTATTTATGAAACTGTAACTAAGATTATGAAAACAATGAATGCGTTCCGTCCTGATACACTTGGATCTCTTCCGTTTTATCGAGTGGTCAGTGAACTTGCACGTGTTCATGATTCATGTTCGCAATCTCAATGCAGTGGACGAGAAAAAGATGTTTGTTTCACATCCCAACCACGAAATCCTTATAGGTCACTGAGGCGAAATTCTTCATAGTTAGCGCTCCTTAGGTTATGAATATTGGTGTATGTCAAAACAGAGGCCTCAGAAGTCTAGCTAGCGTCCTGCTTAGTCTCATTCGTCGAGCGTACAATACACGAAGAAGTGTCATGAACTCTCAAGTATGCGATGCGTTTGGCTACGCGGTCCAAAAATTGTGGATTCACTGGATCACAATTTTTTTTAGAAAATATAAAAAAGCGTTTTTCTACAGTTTACAAATTTTGTTGTTATGAAATTTAATAGAGTTAATATTTAAACCATACTTGCAAGCGGACGCCGTCCGGGCAGCTCCGCACGTGCGGCAGACCGTCGGACCGGACCCGTGCAGCGCACGAATGTGCGTCCGACAACCAGTTACACCCCMCCCCCCCCAAAAAAAAAAAAAATGGCCCTGTCTGGTCCGGGGGGAGGGTGCCGCACGCGGCAGATCGGACCGGACCGGACGCTCGTCCGATCCGTCTGCTTGCAAGTATGATTTAAAGTTATTGTAAAACTATTTTTTTTTTAAATAAATATTTACAAATTATACGGAGGTTATTGTGGTGCCAATGATAACGATGCACCCACAATCCGGACCCTGAATCTGCGCGCTTACCTTGTCAGATGGTTCGACGATGCGAAGAAGATTGACATGCGAAAAGTCTTGACTGAGGTGTTTTTTGAAATGTTCGTCAAAACTGCAATAATCGTAAAAGATGATCGGATATGGGAAAACTTTCTCGGCTGGCAGAGAAACAAACTCACTAATATTCGGTTGGAACCTAGGTTGTTTTTTCGGGCGCCCGGGCACCCAACTTATGTCCGGGTACACACCTGGGTGCCCGGCCGGGCATGACCCCCGGGC